ATCTACACATATAAATCAACAACACTTCTAAATACAGTAAAATAAAAACGCAATAAGCGTTTATTAAAGTATATTCCACTGCGTGTCCTTATTCCCCACCTACAAAACCCTATAACCACCGTTTTCGTAGGAAAACATGCGAGGAGTAAGTATAATGAACGGGCCTATATAAGCTACTGTTGTCGAGATTTTTTCCGCGTTCAAACCCTTAGCATGGCTCTCACATTATCTGTAAGTTAAATCCTACCGTGCAACCGATGGCGTTTTTAATGACGTCGAAGTTCTTTCCACATGCGAACATTGGGGTTGACTTTTTGTTTAATCTAAAAAGAAGACTTCATTCCAAAAATACCATTGAAAACATCCCAACATTTTAATACATGCATGTAAATATACTACTAGCAATTCTGAGTAGTTGTTCATGATTACTATTTTCCAATACCGTGCAGTTGTCTGCTTTTCGCTGGTAGATACATAAACAAACTCGTTATTTAATCTAGGATTTGTTAGTCCTCCATGTGTTTGTATACTTTACTCAGTCACCTTATAAATGAAAGGGAGTTTAGAGGCATTCGCCCATCTTCTCCATAAAAAATGAACTCCGTTATGACTCCTGCGGCAGTTCCTCGAATGCTTAATACACCTTGAAGTCGGCATCTGGCAGAAACTGCTTTGACCTGACTGAATTTCTCCGTTTTTGGCAAAACGACACTATTTTAACTGATATCGAAACGTTAGACGAATAGAAGTGTTGTCCCAGTGATCGAATCGTCTTCTCGCTATTTTAACTCCCGCTTTGCTGTGGAGCACACAGTGCCCTTATCCAAACCAACTGTGGTATTTTATGCCCGCAATTTGTAAGAGAACCCGATCGCGACGGATTGCTGAAGAAGACACAGAGGAAAACAAACGATAGGTTAGATAGGTTAAAATTTGTCATGCCAGTCATCACTTGGTTTTTATTTTCTCGATCATTCTATGCAGGATATGATTGCCGGTGTGGAATACTGCGGCCGCACGTATAAGGGAAGACAGGCGCAGACACCGCCCAGACGGCCCAGGCCGCCATCTCGGAAGAAGCCGGAGTCAGTACTACCGGTAGATGATCAAATAAGGCGCTCCAGTGTCCCCACCTACGGAGCCATCTTCTGGATGTTTACGTGCCTGATGGGACTTCTCACGCTGGTGATATATTTCTTCCTCGAAGGCACTGGATTCATACTGTCCAGGATTGCCAGGGGTAAACGCCGACGCCGACCGCCACCTCGCAGGAAACGTGGAAAGCAGCAGTACCTGACAGAGATGGCAATCTTTCGGGATATACCGATTCAGACTGAGGAATCCTGGGTCTGTAGCCATGGAGTACCACATCTGCGGCAGGAGCTCATCCTGCTGCGTGACCTTGGTATCCAGACCGATGCACCGGCGGAGAAGGATCAGGCGAAGGGCGAAAAGGAGGAAGACGTAGAAGCAACCGGCGCAGATCTGGAGACTGCTGGTAGGAGCAACAAATCTTCGGGCCGCGCTGAACTGGTTAGTAGACCTAGTCAGACTCGATAATCCAGAATCACATGAGGGAGATATCTTGTGTGGGTTTCTTCGGAGCCCTGGCATTGTTTTGTACGAGCGTTTTTGTGCGTTTTTAGAATTTTATATATGAATAAACTAG